GACAGATTTAATGAAAACCTTTAAAGGAATTACAAAATAAATTTCATTTACAGAACAGTTTCAATTGCTATTTGATAATCTCAACTTTAAGTCAGGTATTTTTGTTTATTTAATAGCTTTTATGTTGCTATTTATACATTTGCAGCATTTTTATAAGATTTGAAAAGTTATGAATTAGAAATTAACATCTGAGCATACATTATATAATTAATCTTAGATTAACACACTTGCAAGATATCAGGTTTTAATGAAATTTCCTGCAGCGGCAAATATCGCTGCTGTGTTTAATCATATTTTGTCAAGCGATTTTTGACATTTGAAAGAAAGAGACTTGCTTTAGAACATAGTGTTGTGAAATTTTTTAAAAATATATTGTTATCATTAAGTGCAAGGTATATATATATATATATGGTCACTTTACTTAACCGGTTCCGGCAAACAATGTTAATGGCACTACAAGGTTAGGAAGTCATCCTAGTCATTGCCAGCAATCTGATGGTTAAGCCGCCTTTCTACATTTTACATTAATCTGTAGTTTCTTGGATATAATTATTTTCATTCACTTGCTTCATTATCTCTAAGATGCCCTTGTTGCAGTAATACAAGGAACTATCGTGCTACCAGATTACAACCATTCAAAAACAAAGACTACAACTATAGGAGAAGTCAAACAACAAGAATCAGCATTACATTTGCAAATTTTGCAGGACTAGTTTCGATGGTTTAACTACAGAACCATCTTCCCCAACTACCAAAGTGCAAATGAACGAGATAAGATTGATCTTATTTTGTCTTATCCACCATATCTTTTATATATATATATATATATGAAAAATATCCACTAAAAATCTTTTCAACTTAAAAGAACAGTTTCTCTCTGTAACTGTTCTATCTCTCATATAACAAAAATTAGATAAAAATCCCCCCCCCCCAAAAAAAAAAAGAGGATCAAGACTTCAGTTATTTTTTCAGTGATTATAGAATATAGAAATAAATACAGAATTACAAAATAAAAGAGGCAAATGACTGATGTGCAGATCGGCCTATTACTTTGAAACTTAACACAAGCACAAGCGTATCATCTTACTCAGCTATGTTCCTCTCCTCAGCTGACATATTTACAGCAATATATGACATATTTTGTATATTTAATATGACTAGTAAATCTGAACAATAAGCTTGAACTAAATTCTAACAAACTCAATATCACAGATTTATGAGAAACCAGAAGAAATTTACAAATATGATACAATGAGTAAAGCGATAATTGATATTATCAGTTTAAAAATGATTATCAAAGCACCATTTTCTCAACATAATAACAAGGACAAACACATCCTAAGGAAGAAAGATAATTTTGAATAAAAATGCTTGAACTGAACTAGACCTAACTTTTATTCCCTTGTTATAGCTTGCTTTGCAAGATTCATATTTTTATCAGAATTTCTTCTAACATTAAACATACATATTTTCAAACACCAGAAAAGTCAGAAGGAATCTGAGAAAGATTAACACAGTACAAATTCCGAGGTTACATACACAGTACAAAGTTCCACATTTCGTCGGGACTTTGATGATTCCGAATATCAGATCATTAGTTTAAATCTAGTAAAATGACATGCAGAAATTATCAAATTACAAATACAAAATAGTGGTTTATAAAATAATGAAGCATTTAAATCTAAATTACCATAAAGAAAAAAAAGTATTCATTTTTTTTGGCTTCATTAAACATTTTTTTCAAATGCAAATTGTTTAATTTGCTTCTTCTTCTTTTTTTTTTTTTTTTTTTTTTTTTGTGTGTGTGTGTGTGTGTGTGTTAATACTTTGTTTTTACTTCAAAAGACAAACACAGTTTCTTTTTCAGCTATAAAGAAGTTCTAGTGTCTTTAAAGTCCTTTAATTGATATATTAAAAATTCTCACAAAATTATAAATGAAAATTTTTTCTTTCTAAGCAACCTCTCTGTCACTATTGGTCGCAATATTTTCTGGATTTTGAGCCATACTACAGACCTTTGCGATCAGTTAGATGACTGATGATTGAGGCATTGTCTTCATCTTGAAAATCTTCTGTTATATCATTTTCATTTATTACCACTTCTCCATATTTCTTTAAAAATTCCACTAATGGGAAAATTTGTCTTTTTATTTGCAATATAAGAAAACATTCAAATTCATGGCTATCATCATAAAGCTTAGCTAGCATCCGCTATACACTGATAGTGTATCACGAGATTGCTGACTGAAGACAAATTACACTAAATTTTGTCTTGCTTCTACTGCACATTGACAAAGTTAAGCTTGATTTACATTAGTTATTTGTCATACTTATGCCCATTTCCCACTCATGATTAAGGCTTATCCAAATCCTGAATATACAGTCAAAAGTCGTTAATTCGGACACCCATAATCTGGAATGATCTATAATCCGGACCTCAAAGCTACATATTTTCTGCGCATGCATTGCTTTGACCTGAACGGCTGCGAATATGTGTGTGCGCATGTGTATAATACGTTTATGGATGCGCGTTCAATGTATAACGGATGGTATAAGCTAAAAATTATCTAATTCAGTTAATGTTGCAGATTGCGTTATTCCTTAATCTTCGAATTGGATCCGGCTTATTATTTTTTGCAGACTGTTAGAGCAAATTTATAAAAGTAAGCTTGAACTTTCGATTATGCCATAGAATTTCCGATATATATTTACCAATACGTATGTAATCTTCAGGGCAGATGTTTTTATTTTATTTGGCTTATAATTCCTTACTAAATGTAGTATTTCATCTCGATGTACTCTGTCTTTGATATGATTTAAATCAAATTCCTCGTCATTATAATTCGCTTCTGATAGTGAAGAAAGTGACACAGAGGTTATTGAAAACGAAAAAATTTCGATTGACAAATTAGTCGGTATCCTCGACACAGCATTATAAGGACTTGAACAGCGGAACTTTGTAAATGAAGAAGAATTATGTCTGTTTATAGAATTAAAGAGAAAGTATTATCACATAAAACAAAGCAACTTAAACAACTTACATTGAAATGTTTAATAAAGTAAACAAATAAATATTAAGCTTTTTTTTTACGTAAATTTTGATACCCTTTAGATCATAATTGTTCTTTATTTCATAAATTACGGTTTCATAGTTTTAATTTTATAATTTCTGCATGCCATCTTACCAGATTTAAACTGATGATCTATAATCCGGACTCGCCGAAGTCCCGACGAGTCCGGATTAACGACTTTTGACTGTACTTAAGACTTATCCAGGTCTAGCACTAGACATTTTGCAGCCAGGTATAATTCCTGCAGGCCCAAAAATCTGTTGCCAATTCTTTCCCTAAATTCTAAAAATTTTGCCACCCCAGTAAATTTTGTGTCTGAGTGCCTTCTGTAAATTTTTAAGATCTTGCTATTTGTTGTTCAATGTTTTGATAAATTCTTAAAATTTTGCCCCCCTCTAAAATCATGTGCTGCTTGCTTCTGGCACCAGTCCAGAGCTTGTTTGAACAATAAATCAGCTATTCTAAATTCAAAGAGCATTAAATGTAATCATTTACAATTCTTTTCTCTCTCTCTCTCTCTCTTTTTTTTTTTTTTATATGGGGGAAAAATTCTGTTAAATTTATCCTTGTCAACACATTTAGTATTTCTAGCAGAATTAGCTGAAGACTGTAATCATGACCAAGCAGAATGTCAACATAAAAGGTTACTATGTTCTTTGATATCCAATTACTAATACAAAAAAACATCACTGCATTAGCCATTTTTTAAGCTGCAGTGTGATGATAGTCATGAAGTGATGAAAGCAAAAATAATAATCACCATGTTGGCATTAGTGCCAAAGTGAAGTTAAGAATAAGGACACTCCAAATTTTATTATGAAAAAAATATCAAATTTGCATAAAAAGCATAAGAAAAGAAATAGCTAAAAAGTAAAAAGGATTGTAGGTGATCCAGAGGTTTGGATTTATGATTATTCGGTATACTGGACATCTGATTTCGAACTTTGTACTGTAAATAATTCTGAAAAGCATGAATATAAAAAGAAAATCTAATTTTCATTTAATGACAGACATTATAAATTGCATCAGTCCTTTAGTCTTCCACTGCTTGATAAAATATTTTAAAATTATTCCCTCTGATAATAAAATTAATGAAGGGGATACACTACAAAAAATAACAAACATTCTGACTTTCCTTCTTTGGTTTAAATGATTATTATATAAACTTCATGCAGTTATTTAATATATATTCATTACTTCAATTTTAAAAAAGTTAACGTTTTTCCAAAAACTAGATTACAAATATTTTCATTATTTTACTAGACAAAACGTCTTAAAATAATTTGTACAGAATTACATTTCTGTAGTTTAAATGACAGTGTTTAGTTAGCCTTAATATAATATGCATTACTATTGCTAAAAGGACTTCCATTATGTTTTCTAACATTATTAGAACAACTTTATCTTAACATATACTTATAAGATCAGGTAAATTACTGCTACCATTATTATTAAAAAAACTACACTGCATATTAAATATGTATTTAATAATATTTGAAAGCATAAACTTACTATTTTTGGCTTGAAAGGAGGTTGCACCTCTTTGTTCTCGATTTTATCCCAACTTATTCTTCTGAAGAAAGGATGAATGCGAATATCTTCTTCTCCTGTTGAACCGCTGCCTAATCGCTTCTCTGGATCCTTTGTAAGGAACTGAAATGCAATTTAAATTCAGATTTAAGTAAATTAAGAAATTCCAATGATCTATAAAAATAAGAAAATTTATTTAATGATTAATTATCAGTAAATAGTTTAGATTAATTATGTAAAATTCTAACAAGCAAGAAAGTTGATAAATATAACAATAGAACATTAATAAAATATTTAATAATTTCTTATAACTATGATAAAGACAGAGACTAATACTTATTACACTGAAACAGCATACATTTTAATATTAAATCATTTTCTCAATTTTTTCCTTCCTAGTGATTACTTGCAGCTATTCGGTGATGCATTTTCATGCATATCAGTTGGCACAGATTCATTTCTTTTATCACCGAGATATAAGGTGACTTAGAAAACAACACTTTCCCCCTATAATATTATAGTAAAATATTTCCCATTTAGTAGAATAAATCTGAATATAAGTTTCCATTTTATAAATCTTTTTCTGGACTGCTACCGATGTCATTGGATGGAAATTGATAAATTTCCTCAAAGAATGCAAAAACACAAGGGATGATTTGCAAGGAAATCATTTATTTAATAAATTTCTTATGTTTCTTTTTTCCTAGTTAACAACATTCAGGTAATATCTTTTGGTTAAATATGAATTTTTACTATATATCCTAATAAAATGAAGCATTGTGAAATTATCAATTGAACAAAGATTTCTTTCATAGTTGACTGTTTTTCATACGCTGGTTGTTTTGCAATGGTTTTATTGTAAATTTGGAGATTTTTTTTTTTTTATTCAGTGTTATCCTTTACAGTTTTTTTCACTAAGTGGACAGTTTACTGTACATATCTAACTTTGATAACATGATTTTTAACCCTCCAAGCATTACGGGTTTAGCCCTGAAATTTCAAAGTTCCTCAAAATGCCATGAATAAACTGTATTTTCTTGATTATATTTAAAAAATGACTCCCTCACTTTGTACCTTCATTCTTTTTCTTCCTATACACATCCAACCTGAAATTGGATACTTTAAAAGCTGGCAGAAATTTTCATGTATAATGATTACGAAAGCTACCCTTCTATATGGAATTTTCTGTCTATAATAGCTTGATAGGTCTAAGCATAGAATCAGCCTAAAAGCATCTCGTTTTAATAGCAAGAATTATTAGGGAATTGTTGCAATATTTTATATCACAACAAAATTCGTAAAACAATATATATAAAACTGAGATATAATATTAATAGTTGAAATATTAAGGGTTTATTCAAATCAATAAATTATTTTAAAGCTAAATACCATGGTGTCTGCCGATAACATCGTAGGAAAATCATCGCGGGCGAAAACCTCGCGGAGAAAACAACGCAAGGCGAAAACGTCGTGCTATAAAACATCGTGGGAGAAAACATCGCAGCTCTAAAACATCGTGATACAAAATAAATCATCGCGAAAATAAAGCGGTTCAAATCTTCGCATTTAAAAAACATCGTCGTCGAAAATATCGCGGTAAAAAATAAGTATCGACAAATCATCGCAGACATGCTTTTTCAGGCTTTAATAATTGGAAAGGATATTCCCATAATGATTTGTGAGCGTGAGATGGAAAGAAAGATAATTTTCTTTATATTTTTTATTAACTAATAATTTTTTGCTGAAAAAAGAAGGAAACTTAGCATAGAAAATAAAGCAACTTATAAATTATACTTTTCATGACTAATTACCTGTAAAAACTTTATAAAAATGATTTATTAATGCTTTTTTATTACCTATGTGGTTTAAAATTATTAGTGCATTAATTTTCTAGCTTAAGTTCCTTTTATTTCTCAGCTGAAGCAGAACAAGAAATATTGTTTCATTATAAGATATTAGATTGACAAAAGTGAAAAATAATCTCATAATAGCATTTTTTATAGCTAAGGTATGGAAGTTTATGCTTAATTTCCTTCTTACTTTTTCTTCAGCAAAATTTATTGGTTAATAAAAAATATGAAAGTAAAGATTATCCTTCTTTCATCTTGCGCTCACAAATCATTATGGAATATTCATTTACAATTATTAAAGCCTGAAAAAAGCATGTCTGCGATGTTATCGTATGCGTGACTTGTAGTACTTTTATTTTTACCGCGATATTTCGAGACGATGTTTTTAAACTGCGAAATTTTTAAACTGCTTTATTTTGGATGACGATATTTTGTAGCACGATGTTTTCTCTTTGCGATGTTTTCTCCCATGATGTTTTGTAGCACGACGTTTTCGCCTTGCGTTGTTTTCTCCGCAATGTTTTCGGCTGTAACCAAATACCATAACTATGATTACATTTATCTGTGTACTTGCTTCTTATACTGACATAAATAATGCCTTCTTAGTATTGCAAATCCTTTATTTAAAATTAATTACCTTCAAACCTGATAAAATTATCAAGTGTATGATGCTTATATACAGGCATACTATAATGAGAATATGCAAAATATATTAGAAAAACAACTAAGGGAATTTAGAAATTAAAATTCTAGATATTTAAAAAACACCTTTGGCTATTATGTACACAACTCATAAATATGCAGTAAAACTTCTAAATGATTTTTTTGAATAGTTCAGCAATTTAAGGGGTAAAATTCTGTAGAATCAATTCTTTATACTTTTTTAAGTGATTAGAAAATTCATTTAATACCTGAAGAATGTACTTTTAATGTTGTAAACCCAAACAGGGGCCTGAAAGACTCCACAGTCGTAAAACTAACATATAGGATTAGAAAAAGACAGCTCGGAAAGAGGTCAGGCCACTTAGGAAATAGGAATTAATAGCTGAAATGGATAAATTTGTAGAGTAGAAAGGCATATTATATGGCTCTAGCAATACAGACTAAGCTTATATAGTGATATGTCTATTGTGTGATATTATATATAGCGATATGTCTATTTTATGAGCTGAATAATAGAGGCTATAGGATTAAATTCTCAAGGATTAAAGCGCATATAGGTCATACCAGCAACAAGAGGGTTGATGCTTTAGCTAAAGAGGCTGCAAATGATATTTCTTTAATGGAAATAGAGACTCCTGGCTCTAAAAGGATTGCATGTACAGTTCTAGAAGATATGATAATTAACAGTTGGAGCAATATCTGGAATAATTCAGACAGAAACAAGGAATTTTTCAGATTTTTTAAAATAAAAGGGAGAATGTGGCTTATTAATGACACTGGTTTTATTCAACTGATTACAAGACATGGACGTTTCTCATTTTATTTGCATACATTTGTTATTCAGGAAAATCAGAATTGTCTTTTTTGCAAAGCATTAGGAGATAATAAACATTTTTTGTGGGGATGTGGTCTAACTTTTTCATTCCATCAAGATTTTAGGATCGCTTCTACGGAAGATTTATATGATAGGTAGAATTATAAGACTGCTCGAGAGATCATGGAAATTATTAATTCAAATAGAGAAAGAATTGGAATTGTGGCTTGAGTTCAACTTTTGATTGCTTGTACAACTTTGAAAACTTGCTTGACATTCGTTTTTGTTTGCTTTACTTTATTTTTAGTTGATGTCGTAACTAACCCCTTAATTACTTGTTAGTTCTTTATTATCTTGTAATGCGACACCTTACTGGTTTTAATAGCTTTGTAACCTTGATTTACTATTGTATTGTATTTTTTGTTCATATGGTTTGTTTGTTTTTTTGTGTGTAATGTAATACGGGCGCAGCTCCTTTGTGTCATAAGACGAGCTTCGGTCGTCAGGCAGGCCGGACTGTGTCCTAAATCAATCAATCAATAAATAATAGTGATATGTCTACTTATCATTATATGAGTAGTATTTTTTCCTAACAAAAACTTTAGTCTGCTTTTCACAAGACACACCTTTCTTTCTTTCTTTCTTTCTTTCTTTTTTTTTTTTTGCAAATGGTGCAAACTAGCTCAAAAATTGAATGACCAACTGACTTCAAATTTTATACAGATATTCTTTAATACATTGACCAAATCTTGAACCTAAAATACCAGTAAAAACTCAATAATAAATATTGATTATAACAAATTGCTTCTAAAAAATTAATTAATTTCTTTTAAAAGTGTTCTGAATTTTTAATTTTCAATTTTTGCCCCTTAACCCTCTGGCTGCTCATCCCACAGGCAACTCAAGTGTAGCAAAATCTGCTCATCCTGCAGGCATGTGTTTTTCTTCCTTTATTGAGGGGCACATCCCGTTTTTTCCCCGTTTAACCACTGAAATGAATTATATACAGTATTGGATGTTTAATTTACATTTTGGCCGGAAGTTGTCCACTAAATTGCGGCATTTGAAGGCATGTGGTATTACCGCTCAAACTTCACTTTATGCGCTTCTTTCTTACAGAAATGGCTGCTATTCAGCGATTACCTTGATTATTTAGTTAAATTATTGAATTATTAATTAGATTTATTGATTATATTGATAATTAGATTGATTATTAATTAGATTTATTGAATCTATTGCAAAGACTGTGAAGTTGGACTTTGCCTTGAACTCTGTTTTGAACTCTAAAATTGCACTTCTAAGATATCTTTTCCTCAGTGCTTTATATTTCTTAAATTTTTTATATTTTACTTTTTTATATTATGCAATAAATAGAAATTAACTGTAATTCAACTGAAATTTATTTTAAAAAAAATTTGGGGGGGGTGATAACATCTGAAATTGGTTTTTCTGGCAAATTAGTTTCTCATGATAAAAATCTATATAAACTAAATATCTTCTAGAAAGGAAAAATGCATTTTTCAATTCTCCAATATATATAAATTTAAAATACGGGAACAAAAATTGTAAAATTTTTTAAGCAATTTCGATCCACAAATTGAGCAGTCAGAGGGTTAAATTTAGGTTCAAGATCTGCACGAGATAACATTTATACGAGATAGTTTTGTCTTCAGATTATTAGAATGATCTGCAACCTTCACCATGGCAAAAAAAGGGGGGTGGAGTCAACTTCCAGCAGCTGGAGTGCCCCAGAATTTTGAATTTTTAATGGCACAAAAATAATTTTTTAATAGCATTTATTGTCAACATTATGATGTTCTTTAACACAATTTAATACATCTTTTCCTTTTTTTATAAATAAATTTGAAAAACCAAAAACACCTGTTTACAAGACCCTTCTCCCCTTAACATACATCATTAAGTACAATTATTATCTTTTGATTCAATACTTACACCTTTCAGAATTTCTTTCGCTTCTTTTGAAAGAGATTTGGGATAAGATACATTGTGGTCAGTGATAGATGCAAAAAGTTCCTCTTCATCTTCTCCATCAAATGGAGGCTAAATAATAATTACAGTTATTCATTATAAAAAATGCATATGATTGTGATTCATACTTTTAGAACACATTTAAAACTCGATTCTTCATTTCTTGAATACATTCGTACTCATTTCTGCGCAGGGAAATTAAGTACTTTTAAGGACCATCAATGAAAAAAATTAAGGACCGATGAGCAAATAACTCAATTAATACCAATTCCAATTAAAAATAAAATAGATCCGTAATTAGGATGCATTCTTATAAACATAACTTAATTAACATAATAAGTTTGGGATACACTATTTTACGAATTTATCAAATAGCATTAAATATTTTACACTTATGATAGTTATTTGAAAGAAGATAAGTGACATTTTATTTACGTTTTACTAATAGTTAGTTTCATGTTGATTTTTTTTTTTTTTTTTTTTAATGTCTCATTACTTGCTCAATCTAGAGGTTTAGTAAATAGTAGGTAGATATTATGTCAAGCGTCATAGGTTAAAATAAGAAGTAAAATCATAATTAGAATGATTTATAACAAAAGACTGGCTGGTGTCACCGCTGCTCCTTGCCTAGAGAGAGACCTGCTGATCAGAACAAAACTGAAAGGCCTGATGTGAGCCCGGTTGGCAAGTTTTGAAAGTTAGTTGGACTCTGTCTGTTGGAGTTAGTATCGTAGCTCCGTGTAGAGTTCAACCCGGTTAATATACTTTTTAAGGTTCCAATAAGCCACTAAAATACCAGAGGTGACACTAAGTTGTTTTGTATTATTTTAGGTCTTATTAGATACGAAGAATTAGTTTTACATGAATTTTTATATTTTCGTGTTTTATCTTGTACCACGCTAAGGATTAATGAAAGGCAATAACTCACTTTAATATGCAGAGATAATTTTTAAGGGTAAGCAGTTAATTATAAATAAATAAATTAGGTAGTTAGATGACTTTAGTCATTATAGGTTGTCTCAATCTCACAAGTTTCTGCGTTCTTTATCTCCTAAGTTGTCAACTTCTCCAAAATATACCTATGAAGGTTTACGTGATCTGGTAAGAGTTAAGTAGACCAAATACCCCCGACAACATGAAGCAAGTTATCGCTACGTCTCAAAGTAACTACAAAGTCAGACAAAGGTTTAAACAAGCCTCTTTTATTTAAAAAGAACTTAAAGGCATGTTTTTATGCTAACCAAATCAATTGCAGTTTGTGGTGATATAATTAACAAGAACGTCAAATTAAATAAAAAAATGGACTAGTATCAAACTATACAATTAATTTTAATTTAAGCTGGCTCAGTTACTCTATCGTCATAACAAATTCAAATGTCAGCAGCGATAATGTAAAGACAAAAAGTTACAAATTATCAGAGCTTGAAATAACTAATGCAGCGAGCAAGCGGAGATTAAAAACACATTCTGTCTTATACACCAAAAACCTCAGTCTAAAAACTGTCTAAGTGATTTGCATTCTGGGGAGGAAATAGAAACCGGAAATTATAGTAAAGGCTGAAATTATAAACAACTGGGTAATTTACATAATAATACCCATATATATATATATTTGAAGAATAATTTTCTTTTTCTGTATGTATTCGGTTTTCTTCAACACGCTTCCTTTTCATTTTAGAATTTTTGGATTTAATTAAAGATTTCTGTTATTCTAAAAAACTAAGAAATTACGTATAGAAAAAGCTGCTAATTTTATTTCTTTAGTAATATGAACAATTGGAAGAAATATGAAATATATATGGTAAGAGCCAGTTGCAGAGCTGGTGTGACAGAATTTTTAGAATTTATTGACACACACTGAGCAACAAAACCTAGAAATGGCAAAATTTAAAATTTAGCAGGCACTGGAAGCAGAATTTAGAATGCACTAGTCAGCAAAATTTAGAATCTACAACATAGTTTAATATTCCCGTGAGTGCACCAGTGGAAAGCCTACATCAGACCTGTGTATGATGCATTAAGACATATTAGTTGACTCTTTTAAATTGCCAGTTTTCAATTTCTTTATTAATAAAAAAATTCCAGTCTATAATACCTGTCCATGTGATAAGATTAGAAGCATTTTTAATATTTTCCATGCTTGTGTCTAGTGAAAAGTATAAAATAAAAGGAAGATAAACATGTTAAGAAAAAGATTCTAGTATCAGAAATAAAACACTCAAATATTATGTTTTCATTGATCTTCCAGATGTTCTCCAAAAACTAAGAAATTCATTGCAAACTTTCTCTAAAATACATCCATTACATGATAATGTCATAGAGACACTTTTCATTTTGTCACATTTTTCTAGAATCTTCTGGAAACGTGGGTCTATAAACCTTGCCTTCAAATCCTTCTAAACTTTTCAAGTTGCAATTTCTAATGTCCCAAAGGAAAATTACCCCTACCAATTTTGTAACAGCAAACAGCCAGAATATTTGGAAAAAAAAAAAAAAAAAAAAGACAGACGGAAAAAGTGTAAAATTAAATTTATAGAGAAGACTGATGCATATTCTGAGACAATTACATGAGAAAATTCTTATCATGAAAAAATTAAAAAGAAGATATTTTTAATTAATATGTTATTTTTTAAATATAATTTCAATATATTACCATTATTTTAATGAAATTTGTCAATGTTAAACAATGTTTAAAAAAAATCGTCGAAAAATTCCCAGATCTTGGAATTAAAAATTTTCTATAGAAACTGATCTTAAAAATAGCCAAAATGTTAATAAGTCGCCAAATTTATAGCCTTTAAATAAAAGACACCACATCCCTAAAAGCGGAAAGTTGTTTAATTAGAAAAAGTGAAATAATGTCGAAATACTTGTTTCACTTCCTGCTCAGAAACTCGAGTATCCCACCATTTATATTAGAAATAGGAACAAATCATAATCCATTCAAATAACCATATTTATCAGTGAATCGCCAAAAATATACCTCCAAATTGCTAATTCACACTCAAAATGGCAGTCATAAACACAAACAGAAATTTCACAATTAAAATTAAGGACCTTTTGCCGATTTTGGTCGAAATTAAGGACTTTTAAGGACCAAAAATCGATTTAAAAAAACTTAAGGACTTTTAAGGACTCTTAAGGACCGTACGAACCTTGGAATATTTGATTTTTAAATTTACACCAATATGAACTATTAAATGAAATAAATTCTTACAAAAGGAATGGAAAGTGATATTGATAAGGCGATTCTTTTTCAGTTTTTTTGCTGTATTATTCCTATTAAAGGAAATAATTAAGCAATACAATTTTATTGTCTTAAATTTGCATACTTTCAGTCTCTGGTTATTTCAATGAATTCCTTCTTAAAACTATTAATATATATATTGTTAAATGCATATTGCAAGAATAACATTATTTAAATGCATATAAATTATTTGGAAGAAAATTCAAATAAAAATTACTTTTTCAGCTGAATAAAACTAAAGCTACTTACCTGTCCTACTAACATTTCATATAGAAGAACTCCATATGCCCACCAATCCACAGATTTTCCATACGGTTGATACAGAATGATCTAAAATAGAAAAACAAAAGTCTTGCATTTACCACATTGAATTTGAATTCATTGTCAATGCAAAGTTCTAGATATCAAAACATGTTAATTTTTAAATTCTTTTCCATACAAGGGTAGGAAAACATTAATTGAAAAAAAATAACTAAGCTCATCAATCTACAACCAAATTTCACCTAATTTTAAAGCTGGCATGTTTTTCTTAAGCTTATTAACAATAAAAAGATAATCACACATTGCGTTTTTTTTTTTTTTTTTTAAGTTTTAAGATTAATTTTAACAAAATAGAGTAAATTTCAAAGATACAATATTATCCCAATTTGTTTTTCCAAAGATATCATCTATTCACAGAGAGAATTTCTGCAACTAACTGTGCGGTTTCATTCAGTGAACATGGATTTGAAAGATGAGCAACTGATTTGATGTATTTAGTAGACATTAATGCTGATTAAAAAAAATCATAGTCTGAGCTAAAACCTAATGCTTTACTTATTATCTGGAGACAAAACGGTAAGCTGAAGTGTCACCATGACCACAGAAATTTCAGCTTCAGAAATCTGAAGTAAGATCACACTGATATATGAATATGTTTCTGAGATACAGATAAATTCCATATTTTAAAAATATCTATTGAACAGATTTCTGATGAGAATAGGTCAGAAAAAGATCACCTGAATAAATGGTTTCTGCTGCATGATGATGAACCGTTACACATTTCTTCAGATGCTAATCTTGAAATCTTTTAAAAAAAGGAGAAACCAGGAGATTTTCCCGCAGCATGGAGACAACATTTCAAAGGAACTCCTGACTGACTTTATAATTCATGGTTTAGGTTACTGAACCAATTGTAAGTCAATTCTGATATAAAATATATAAGCATTGAATTACATATTCTAAATTTTATGTTTTTTGGCTAATTTTATTTCTCAATTTTCTTATACTTTTATACTAAGAAAATCACAAATAGTAAAAGAAAGCTTTTACTATTTACCAAAGTATTTTTTAAATACATTTTTTTAAAAATGGGGGGGGGGAACTGAAAGATTTGAGATTTTACATTATGCCCAAAGGGGCATTTTTTTAAAGTTTTGTGTCTTTAGTTATTAAATAGCATGTTCTTCACACTTAAACCATAAATTTCAATTCAACAGCAATATCACAAAATAATTTTTAAAATAAGCACATCTTTAGAATTTCAAATACACAGTCTCTCATGTTGGAGATAAAAATCCCCCCCTTGTACAGTGTTGCCATTACTCACTTTGAAATTGTTGAGTTTTTTAAATCAAAAATTCATTAAACTGTTACAATATATGAAATAGATAATAAAACAAATTCCAAATTTGGGCTTTCAGATGCCCATATTCGGGTGGAGATGTACACCATTCAAAATTTGATGGCTCTAGATACCACTATTTTATCACAATGCGAGAAACATGCATACATTTATGCATATTCTTCATTATTTAATTTATTTAAATATAACACACAGGGAAAAATATTTAGTGGCAACAATCTGAAAAGTGAAATGGACATTTAAAGTTTTCAACACAAAATGTCAAAACGAAATTAATAGCCCTTCTAGGCTAATGCCCTTTGGGCTTAAAAAACAATTTCAGAATTTATATTCGGATCAAAGGGGCATTTTTTTTTCCATTTACACATACTTGCATGCTCCGGGAGCATTTGGGATAGCAACCCCTATGGACTGAAAATATTTAAAAACAGCATATCTTTAGAATTTCCGATAAACAGTCTCGTGCACTGGAAATAAAAATGTTTTATTCTGTACAGTGTTGTCACTGCTTGCTTTGAAATCGTTGAGTTTTTTTTAATAAAAGATTTGTTGAAGTTTTACAAAACATGAAATATGTAATAAAACAAATTCAAAGTTTGCATTTCCAGGTGATCGTATTCAGATGGAGGACTACGTTATTCAAAATTTGATGGCTCTAGGCACTGCTGTTCTTTTACAGTGCGAGAAACATACAAACATTCAAGCTGATGCTTCATTATTTAATTTCTTCAATTAAATAATGAAGAATAAATAATAAATTTATAATATGAAGAATAAATTTATTATTTATTCTTCATTATTTAATTAAATTTCTTTAATTAATAATAATAATAATATACACAGGGCAATATTATTTGGTAGCAATAATTTGAAAAGCGATTCATTGCTTTTAGTGATTCGATGCAAAATGCAATTTCGAAACTAACAGCCCTTCTGAGCTTTTGGGCTAATATATAATTAATTAATGTACAGTATATGTGCAGATAAGTTTAGTAATGTACCATATACTGAAGTAAAGAAAATGAAATACAAATATTATCTGTTCAAACATTGCTTGAAATGTCATAAAAATCTATAAATTTGTAATAAATCTACAGCATATTCAGAAAACTCAGTTCAGATTTAAAAAGATCAGTAAAACTGTAATAAAATTTATTCTAAAAATTACTAGAGATGAGGTAATGAAATTTGCCAAATTCATATTTCATTTTTTGTTGGGAAACATTTTCCTTAATACACACTAAAAATTAAAAACTGGGAGACCAGGAGTGTTGGAAGCTATGCATTTCCCTTCTTGTCAAGCAGTTAAGCAGTTCTGGTATTTTCTTGTTATCTGCACTTCCACCTCCACAAATTATTGGCAGTATGTTGCCATTCACTACCGCTATTCAAGTTTTTATTATAATTGAGAAACAGCAAACATCACAACTGAATTTTTTAATTACAAAATATTGTGGATGAATTATTGTAACATTCACAACTGGCAATAAATACAATGAAGGAATTCTGAAACCTTTCTTTATGCCTTATGTGGGTGCAGTTGGAAAGTACATCCTCTTTACAACTGCAATAAGTAACTATGATAAGTTGCCCCAACAGAAAATGCTACTAATTGTGCTGGAATACAAGGGTATAATATCATATAGATTGACTTGCACACTCATCAAATATGAACGAACAAAATATGATTAAATCGAACTGATAATTCTTGGAACATGATGGGATAGATCTATTATCATTGTCTCCACAACGTTTGAGTTAATGTGTCCATTAACTGAAGTTGATAGAGATAACACAAGAACTCTTGGATTATTAAATAATCCCATTTCATTGATGACATGCAGATATGCTGTGGTTATAACAGTTCATTGGAATGATGCACTCTAATATAATATAGATATTTACAGCCTTGCTATCTCATTAATAATTTGCTTGTGCTCTAATGATTTAGATCAGGGGTCGGCAACCTTATACCTAAGGCGTGCTAAATCAGTCTACCAATATGATTCAGGATGCCATACAACAGAAAAGTTAGGGAATAGAGGTGCTCTAATGATTTAGATCAGGGGTCGGCAACCTTATACCTAAGGCGTGCTAAATCAGTCTACCAATATGATTCAGGATGCCATACAACAGAAAAGTTAGGGAATAGAGGACAAGAAAAACAGATTTACTATATATCAATTATACATCATTTAAAGATAGTTATTAAAATAAAAATAAACAACATAAAATATAATCATTCCTTCAACATAAATAGAAAATTAAAATTGTACATATATTATGTATCTTTTAAATATATTTACTAAAACAAAAAATAAACGACATAAAATATAAGTATTCCTTCAGTACAGTTAAATAAAGAATTAAATTTTTAAGGTTAACCTTGTGCCTGTACTGCTCTACTTAATATCGCAATATCAGGGATATAATTTGTGACTTTCAATTTGACACATGATTCTGAATATTCAGTTGTTAAACAACTTCTTTGTGAACTCAAAATATTTTCATATGAGAAAAGATTTGTTCACACAGCTATTCGAAATGAAAAGCAGAGTACAGGCAATTTTCTCAAACAATAAAATCCGCCATTGACATCAAGCAATTTAAATTATTGTTAGTATTATCTTCAAGATTTTTTCATAATTTCACAAATTTTGCTTTCCATAATTCTGAAGATGTTAGTTCAGTAAGTACCATTTCAGAATTATCAAATACCATTCACTCAAAAATTGACAAATCAGATGAGATTATTAATGGGTCTGTTAAATCTGGTTTGATTAGGAAGAAAAATACAGGCATACAAATTTCAAAGTTAATGGTTTGAAGTTCATTTTTATCTAAGGTCAATGTATTTGCAAGTGCTTTACATTTGGGAAGCAGTTATAGGTACTAGTATTAATATCATGGGAAAACTTATTTAATTTTGTAGCAAAGCATTTTTGGTATTAAAAAAATTCACACACTGTCTGGCCCTTTTCTTGCAATTCTTAGTTTGCTGAGGTGTTAGTTATATCAGTCAGAAACATCAATTTGCATAATCATTCTTTATTGTTCAATTTGAGGAAGACAGAAACTTATTCAAGACATTACCTCAATTAAGCCAATGGATATGGCACTATAAAGGAAAATCCACATATTCGCTTTCAATTTCTTCTAAAACAGGTATAAATTGCCAGTGTACTAATTACGAGACAGTGTGAAATTAACTATTTTAATAATAGTGTTCATTTCAGAAATTAAGCACCGCGACAAAATTTTGGCAACTAAACTTTTTTTGACAGCTCAGAGAGGACAGACAAGATGATTTATCTTTGCTTCATAAATTTGACATAAAAAGGCATTTGCCACATAAATTTGACAGTTCTGCAAGTGGTGTAGAGTGCCACTGCAAATTGTACCACGTGCCAAATCTGGCACACATGCCATAGGTTGCCAACGCCTGAGTTAGACACTTATTATTTCAGAATTATAGAAATTTAACTGGCCTATTTTTGTTTATAGATTGTGTTATTTTCTAATCTTATTGAATGCTCTATTTATTTTTCAAAAGATCAATTTATTGTTATCAGATAATTAATAACTTCGAGTCTGATATTTTTCTCTCTTTCTCTTTTTATAAGTTTATTTCTAATTAAAAAGGATAGCTTGAATTTCATTTAATATTTAAAAGAATTACACAGCAAAAAACTTCTAAATTCACACACTAATTATTATAAAATATAAAATATTCCTAATAAAATCTGACTGCCTCTTTATTTTAATTTTTCAGTAATTTAAATAACAAGATAAATTTTTTTTAAAAAAATTAATTCCTTAAGCAGTATCAAATAATTCAAAGTTATTATATTAAAATCGTTTAGGTATTAAATACAAATTTCTTTTTGCACTTAATATTTAAATGATTTTACAAATGCTGCATTACAATTCAGTAATTTACCTCAGGTGCAATATAGTCAGGTGTTCCACAAAATGTTTTAGTTGTTTTGTTCCCCATAATCCCTTCCTTACACATTCCAAAATCAGCAATTTTTATATGGCCATCTTGATCAAGAAGAACATTGTCTAGCTTCAGATCTCTAGAAGCAGAAAAAACACAGATTATAACTTCTCTTGGAACACATAGTATATTTGATCAGCCAAGTTCATAAAAGTGCATCATAAAAGTAATTGACTGTTTAAATAAGAATATATTCATCATAAACTGAAAATTTTGTGTAAATTTCTCCCCCTAAAAATCTGAAAGAAAGAAAATTAAAATAATATAGGAATACTAGAAAGATACATAAATAAAATAAAAACAGTTTAAGGGCAATATTGAATTGCAGGACAATAACTAGTTTAAAAAAAAAAAAAAAAAAAAAAAAAAAAAAAAAAAAAAAAAAACTAATTACAGTTGATGCAGAGTTTTCACACATGAAAAATTTTCAGTATAATTATTCAATATTACAAAATGCACATTTTGTAAACTAATCAATTGTAATGATAACTGAAAAGCAGGCTTCTATATATTATTTCCATCACTAGATGTAAAAAGGCTTTAACAAATTTTTATTTTATCATTTTTATTGGATAGGCTTGAAATTATATTTAAAAAATAAATACTTACCTATAAATAATACCCCTATTGTGCAGGAAAAACAGTCCTATAGCTATTTCAGCAGCATAAAACCTGTAAAAAATATTCATAATGCATTTTATCACACATTCCATATTTCAGTTGATAGGAGAAAAACTAAGATTTTAAAATATTCTATCAAAACAACCTTTTTTTTTTGTTTCATGAGTCACTAATACATTAAAATTTTTCCTAAAAATTTTTTTCACTGTATATATCCACTATAGCTGAAATAACAGCACATGCACAACTTAATACATCAGTGGCAATATTTCTTTTTAAAGAAAAAAAAATATTATTAAAAGCATTACCATCAATAAGTGTATTAAAAATAAACATTGAATTTCATAAATCAGTCTTTCATTTAATTTTTAGAGCCTCATACATGAAATGGTGCAGTTTGAAAGTGTTATGATGAATTATAATATCTTATTGAGAGACCAAAACTGGGCACTTTTGTGAATTTCTGTTCTGAGTTTGGTGAGTTGTTTACAGTACTTGTTCATCATGATTATTTTACCAAACATGAGACGCTTGAAGAAAACAAATTCCTTGCAGTTTCAAATATCAATCAGATGAAAGGCAAGTCTTCTCACAAGCAGGGCTGTGGAGTTGGAGTCGGGCAGATTTTGAGGTAAAAGGAGTTGGAGCTGGAGTTGCTAAAAACAGGTCGACTACGACTCCAGTTTTTGTTGGACAGTTTGAATTTGAAATGATATTAAAATGAATTGGAAAAAATTAATGACAAACTGAGTTAATTTTTTTATTTATGGGCTATATACATTAATGAATAGTTATTTTCTCTTTTATTGACATATTAATAAATAAATATAAGGGAAGAGGATGGATGTGATATTTGCCATTAGTGATTAAACTGATTCATTTAGTTACAAATCTCACTGGTAATTTAGGTAAGCAGCAATAAGAGCAAGAACTCCAAAAATTAATGCCAATCTTAGGATGCAGGAAAAGGAGCAATTATTGATCAAGCAATGCGATAAGGAAGTACATATTTAATGATAAAGAGGTTGTTAGAAATAAGATATTTTATAGAAGATGTATATAACCCTAATGTTTCAATAATAGAAAGACTGTGGAATGATCTTGCAAAATTGGAAACTCTTCTTTCTACATCGTATATAGCCACAAAAAAGTTGCAATCTGAAGAATCGACAGGAGGTGAGAATGAAAGAATGTGATGTTTGTTCTTTCTGAAATGGAGAGCTTATTGCAGAAGGAATTATTTCTTCAATGAAGAAAAGAGAAAATAGTTTGCTAGACAATGAGATCTTGCTGGGTTCAATATACGTAGATCCGAAACACCGAATTTTCTTGGATGACGAACAAATTAAAAATGCAAAGAAAGCTATCTACGAACTTTCATTAAGAAATGAAATTATTCTCAAAAAAAATTGGAGAATTCGAATCAGGACCATCAAACTGCAGACATTGCAAATGAGTCTCTATCCTCCTCTTCCAGTGATGAATTAGATTTTGAGAAATATTTTTGAATAATATTGAAAAGGCAAAGCGAATGAAAGTAAAGAACCAAGAGCCTTTAGATATAAAAATGAAAAAATACAAACAAGATTTCTACATGGCCTTTGAAGAAATAGAGAAATATGATTGTGCTTGCAAGACACCTCTTTTAGAACTTATAAAAATGTATCCTGAAAAGTTAAAAATAGTAGCCCTAACAATAACAGCTCTTCCTCCTACTCAAGTTAGTGTGGAAAGTTCTGAGCTCTGAAGTTTATCAGATCGGATCTATGGCCCTCCAACAAAGAAGATCTTGCCAAAGCTCTACTGTTTCTCAGAAATTACTAATGCCAGTTTTTCATTTTATAATAAATGTTAATTAACATAAATAATTTGCAATGCCATCAATTTTTTTTCCTGTAGCATCTATGACTTCTTTTATATTAAAAAAATAAGCTGTAATCCATGTGCATATGTTTACATAAATATATGAGGGAGTCGGAGTTGGTCCTTTTCGCTACTGACTCTAAATCCCTGCTCACAAGTTCTGCAATTTCACATGCTAGTTTTCAGCTTTCTTTTCTTTATAGAATGTTTTTATAAAAGATCCACTTCCCATCACTTATTAGTACTCAATTAAAAACTGCTCTTTTTGACGGTTAAAATACAGAAATGGTGTTGAGCTATGGTTCAGAATATTATTTTTTGTCAAACAATTATGAACTTATGCACTGAGCTTGGAAGCAAACCCAAGTTTTAATAAATGGTAAAATGAATGGCATAGAATTGGATTTCAGCCACCTGGGCGAAGGTCAATTTCACTGCCCACCACTAGTTGCATACAGACAACTACAGTTTCCAAAATTATGGACATGTACATAACTAATAACGAATTCATGGATTTAAATTACAAAACTGATTAGTTTTATTACAGAAATGGATGAGTAATTGTGATTAGATGTCAGGTTATAATATTCACTATTCAGATAAACTATACTGAATTAGCAATAGGAGTACAGCGGCACACTCCACCCTTTCCTCAATGCTGTTGGTTATATTTAACTTCGCACATAATTCAGTATTCATATCTATATTTCCAATTTGATTATTTGTTTTGTCAGCTGCCCATATGTTTAAACGATATGCCCTCCTGCATAAGCAGCTGCAGTTTAACTTTTTACATACAATGCCATTACAGTTTTGCCTCTCCCTGATTACTCAAAGTGACTTGTGTGCTCAAGTCTTCTACAAAACAAAATGTCCTGTCAACTTTTAATAAGTTCCAAACTACATTTGGCCAGTTCATCAGTACCCATATCACAGCCCTAGTATCTTCCATCGAGCTGGCATCTAAACTTTGTATGGCTAACATCCTGGTTGGAGGCCAACTTGAGTACCAACCAGTATAGCTCTATTCTTATTTGGATTACACTCCATATCATAAAATATTTGCACTGTATCATTAAATGGTATTTGTTTTATACTTGTGTATTCCTTTCTGCTGACACAGTACACTGAATTATTTTCCTACACTTGTTAACTTGCATCTGTTAATTATCTAACTAAATAAACAGCAATCTACTCCTTCAAAATTTTGCTAGAATGATTGATGCGAGTTTGGCAAGATCATTGCGAATTCTTAAGGTTGATGGGAAAATTCATTAACTACTATTCCATTACATTTGGTCTATTATTATGCAGACTGATTTGAAAAGTATTCAGCAAAAACTAAAAGTAATAAAATTAATTTTTATTTTCATTTACCAATCATGGCAAAAGAACACAAAAACAATTAAAAATAATGGCATGCTTGGACACTCTTTTGTTATCAGGAACGGATATAGAAATGTTTGTATGTACACACCTGTTCCATTACATCCTATTGTAACATTAATCTCACTAGAGGACACAGCGAGCCCTCTCACAAAACCTTCAGAATGTTTGTAGACTGCGAGCAGAGTGGTTGTTCTCTTTAGGCTCCTGCGCCATGTTCTGCAACAGCCATCAGTGCTAACCAAAGCATGTGGCTCTGATTCATATGGCCCTTGTGTCTTTCCATTGGTGAATAAACTTTTAGAATTCTTTACAGTCCATTAGGTTTTCGACAGATCTCACTTCATAACATTTGGTTCTTAACGACCCGGAGAGCGGATTAAAATGACATTAACATGCCTTAAAAGGAAGAAAGCTGCTTGGAAAACTAAAATCACAAAAGTGGAAACCCTTATCTGCGATATTGACTTGGAGGTGCCGCCTTCAATGATGGAATTAAATATTAAACTGAACTGCACAAGGAAATCAGCTAGGGACTTAGAAGATCTGCAGAATAAATTCTAACAATGAAAAGTTCCAAGAAATAGACGAGGATTTTGAGGAGATGGAATTCAAGAATAGAAAAAATGAGGTAAGTCTTTTAAGCCCCATTTCTTCATTATCAAGTGGTATATTAAATGCAGAGAAAGAGGTTAATACAGTAAGGTCGAAATCAGTTGAAATTCCATTGCCACAAATGCCGTTACTAGAATTTTTCGGACATTATGAAGATTCTGATGCATTTAAAATTGCATTTCAAAATCTTATTTCTCATAACCCTCATTAAAAGTTTTTTTTTAATTATTTGTGTGCACCTCTGAGAGACAAAGCAAAACAGATTGAAACAACAGATGTCAGTTAATGAATCTTTGATGAAAGTGCTGGAGGAAAAGTATGAAAACAAAAGAATTTTAGTAGATACTCATACTCAGAATATTATGAGTTATCCAAAGTTAAAATGGGAACCAGCAAAAGAATTGCATGGCTTGCTAGATTGTTTAAAAAAGAACTTGCGCACATTAAAACTACTGAGTTATGAGCACAATAAATTATCAGATATTTTATTAATAAAGTTACTTCTTCAAAAATTAGACCTTGCAAACAATTTAAAATGTCAGCTATTTCAACTGAAGTTCCAAAGATAGATGACTTCATTTCCTTCTTAGAAAAGAGAAATCAAGTCTTAGAAAGCATCTCTAGAAGTATACCAAAAACTAACAAGATTTTGAATAATTCACATAATTCCGCAAATTCTTCATATAATCATTCTAAAAGTCTTCTTATTAACTCTAACAATGGAATTCTTATTAACTCTAACAATGGATTAACTCTAACAAAGGAAGAATGCAGAATATGTCATTCTCAGCACTTGCTATATAAATGTAACGTGTTCAAAAACACTACTACTAAAGAAATAATTGCTCTTGTGAAGAAACATAAGCTTTGTTCTTATTGCTTGCAGCCCTCTCACAGGGTAATTGACCGCAAATGTAAAACTATCTGCCTTGCTTGTGGAGGCTTCACTCTTTACTTCACAATAGTGCCAAGAGAGAGCTTCCCCAAAGACATATGCCCTGTCTGCTCTGGCTGAACCATGGACCCAGCCAATGAAGACAGTTTCTCTCTTCCCTTGGAAGGGGGGATATGTGACAGGTGAAACAGAGGAAAAAAGATATGGGTCTTCCCAGTTTCAGAGTTCTTTTTGGCAAAGCTCTTTGATCGGTTCTACTGAAACCAAAACTGGATTATTAAGTACAGCTGTCATTTACATTTGCGATAACGGAAACTGTGTACGCCACATAGTAACAGTTTTGGATTTTGCTTCGCAAGCTAACTTTATTGCTGCATCATGCGCTAATGCATTGAATTTACCAAAACAAAGAACTTAACGCTCCAATCTCTGGATTAAATGAAACAATCATAAACACCAAATCAAAAATAAATGCTAAAATATCAAACAAGGAACACACATTGGAATGGAATTTGGATTTTCTCATTGTCTCTAAAATTACGGATATCACTCTATCTAAACCCTAATGATTTCAAATAATGGTATTTCAAAAAACATAAAATTGGCTGATCCTCAATTTTCTAAACCTAAAAAAATAAGACTTATTGTTAGTTGCCGAGCTATTTTTTCGAATTTTTAACGACAGGAAAAATTAGATGCCAAGATAACAGATTGCTTTTCTATGAAATAGTGTTTGGATACATAGTTTCAGGTGCATTAGAAATTAAAGGTATCATATCGCCAAAGCAATACTGTTATCTGACAACAAGTCCAGAGTCATTAAATTAAATGATGAAACAATTTTAGAAGGTGGAAAGCATAGAACATAATAAACCTCCGCCTAGCGGAGGAACTGTTTATCCTACGAAGAACATTACACAAGAACCCATAGCAGAAAATTAGATGGACGTCATGTAGTAAAGATGCCTGTAAAAACTGATGATGAAGAAAATATAACTCTTGGAAGTTTGAAGAAAATTGCGTCAAAATACTTAGATCACTTATGGAATTGTTTGGAACGCCAACCACAAATGAAGAATCGGTATACTGAATTTATGAAGAAATATGAACAGTTAAACCACATGACGGAAACTGAAACTGAGGCAGACTTTTATTTACCTCACCATGGGGTTTATAAACTGGAAAAGAGTAGCATTAAAGTTCGGGTGCTTTTTAATGCTATCTGTAAAACAACAAATGGGCAATCATTAAATGACATTTTATTAAAAGGTGACACAATCCAAGATGATTTACTTTCAATAATGCTGCATTTTCGAAAGCATGTCTATGCATTTACTGCAGACATTGAAAAGATGTATTCGTCAGAATGAAATTGATCCTTCTCAACTTGATCTTCAAAAAATTCTGTGGAAGACAGACATAAATGAACCTGTTGAGAATCGAGCATTTAATTAATATTATGTGCAGTTTCAGTGGCATTATTGTTTTATTATGTTTTATGCATCTGGCATTGCTGTTAATTTTATCATTCTAAAATTTGTCATGTAAACAGTAAGACGTACGTAAGTTCTTTTTACCTTTTTGTTAATAAAGTCCAAAAATTCAATTAGCCATCGCTTTGCATGTTAATTTTATAACAGAACCTATGAAATATTATGCACTTAAGAATTTAACATATGGAACTTTATTTGGGAATCAGAACCTTATATGAGCTAGCTTATAATGAGGCAGAAAGCTTCCCTCTTGCATCTTCTGTTACTTTAACTGACTTTTACATGGATGACATCCTCTCTGGGGGATCAGAAATAAGTGAAGTTATAAAATTGTGTTCCGAGTTGACAATAATGTTACAACGAGGAAAGATGAATTTACAAGGCTTTAAGCATAGAGTGGAAGCAGTCATTATGAATTTTTAACATTGATTGGCATGAGCATCATCCTGAATCTTACGCAAAGACATGAACACAATTTGTTTCTACACTTCAAAAATCAAGCAGCTTCGCATTTCTTAAACATGTTGTGAACCCGAATGTTACAATTGTACTCCATGGGTTTGCTGAGGCTTCTGAAGCAGCATTTGGAGTGGTTCTGCACCTTCAATCAATATCTATTGAACAGTGCTGTAGCCAACTGTTGTGTAGTAATCCAGAGTGTCACCATTAAAGAAAATCTTTGCCAAGACTCGAACTGTGTGCATGCTTTCTTCTAGCACAAATGGTGAAGAATGCTCTCTCTATGCTAAAATTAGACATCAGAAAAGTATTCCTGTGGTCAGATTTGATGATCACATTAGCCTGGATTGCCACATCTCCTCATTCACTCAAAACATTTGTAGGCAATCAAGTAACCAAAATACAAGATCTAATGTAGAACTTTAGATGGAGACATGTTTCATCAAAGAACAATCCAGCTGATTTAATTTCTCGAGGTCTAAATCCAGAAGAAATAGCATCAAATAACGTGTGGTGGCACGGACCATCATTTTACTTAAGGAAGTGTGTTTACCTATGACTAAGACATTTGTGAGCCGTGCAGATAACCAGTATCTAATTGAACTGAAAACTCCTGTGACTACGACTTTAGCTTTGTCAACAAAGAATTGTATGTTACACAAACTTTTGAATAGGAATAATAATTACATGAAACTCATTAGAATTTTAAGCTTTATTTTTAGATTTATTTACAATGCCAGAAATTCCAAACATAAATGCCAGGGTCCCCTTAACTTGGAAGAATACAACAAGGCTCGAGACACTCGCATTCAAAATTCTCAGGTACAATATTTTGCTGAAGACCTTTCGGCTTTAAAAGGGGACATACCAGTCTCCAACAAGAATAAGTTAAAATCACTTAACCCTTTTTTGGATAAGATAGGTTTAATACGTGTAGGAGACTGTTTAAGTAACTTCACCTTGAGCTACAATAAAAAATATCATATCATTCTCCCACTAGACAGTAGATTAACTAAGCTCATAATGGAATACTTCCCCAAAATAGATTTACATGTAGGGCTGCAGTCTCTCTACATAGTGTACATCAACAGTTTTGGCCTATCAATAGCTGCAACTTAGCCCGAAAGGTTGTTCATGAATGCCTATCTTGCTTTGAAATGCATCCTATTGCAGTGAGTCAATTAATGGGTAATCTTCCATCTGAAAGAGCCTGCCATTTACCAATATAGGCACTAACCTTTGCGGTCCTTTTCAAATGAAATACAAGCGGCAAAGAAAGAGCATTTTGCAAAGGATCTATATTTGTATTTTTATATGTTTGGCTACTAAAGCTGTTCGTTTTGAATTTCTGACTGACCTTACTTCTGAGTCTTTGACTGCCAGATCAAAAAGATTTCTTGCCCATCAGGCTAAGTGTTCAACCATTTTCTCAGACAATGCAACAAATTTTAGGTGCGCATTTGGAATTACAACAGTTGGAAAAATTAGCAGAACAATTAGAATTTGGAGTAACTAGCTATTTAGCTACAGAAGGCATTGCTTAGAAGTTTCTTCCACCTAGAGCCCCTAATTTTCAGAGGACTGTGGGAGGCAGACATTAAATCATTCAAACACTATCTGAAACGAATTGTTGGTAATGCTAAGCTGACACTAGAAGAGTTTCAGTGTTACCAAGAGCGTGCGGCTTTGGCTTTCTTGCCGTGTCTTTTCTTTGATGAATAAACTTTATAATTCTTTACAGTTCATTATCTTTTCCACGGATCTCAGTCTCTAACAACATGTGCGTATGCATGTATATGTGTATGTACACATACACATATACATGCCTACATGAACACATATATTCATCCATATGTGCATACATAAATACATTTATGAATCTGGTTCTGATAACAGAACAGTGCCCATGTTTGTTTAAATTATATATTTAAACAAAAGATTAGATTTTACTTTGCTGACTTACGTTGCAACAGGTTCTTTGAATTTGGCACATTTCTGAATTTGAAACATAAGGTCACCTCCATTGATAAATTCCATCACAAAATATAATCTATCCTAAAAAACAGAATCACATAAAAATGCAGTATCTTTTTTTCAATATTTCTGTATCAGAATTAAATTTATGCATTGAAGTATATGCATTACAATATCACACAAAGAGGCAAAATGGATTTTAGAAAATAATAAATATACTCAAACTTTAAAAAAAAAAAATAAAATTTTCTTATAATACAATTTTTTTTTCCTGCTATCTGCATCCAGTGCCATGCAATTTTGCCATTTATTTCAGGATAATGGAAAGCTCAGAATACTTTTAATACAAGTTTTACATTGTCTCTTTCCTACTATGCAATTTTTATGCTAAAAATATGAATTTTGATGGAAAGAGGAATTAATATAAGTTAAAATTCTCAGCAAGCAGTACAGTAATAGAAACCTTGGTTAAATAAATGAAATATAACAAATATGCTTTCTGTATTACAACATGCTTAGTTGCTCAATGAGTGAAAATTTAAAGCGTTTTCAATGCATAAAATGATTTATTAATTACATTTCATTAAAAATCACATGTGATTGAGTGCATGTGAACTTATGCATTTAGTATTAAAATGAGCAATATTCATAGGCTGTAAAAATATAAATACTAGCCATACAGATATTTGTTTTTTCTTTCATAATATTTTTCAAAAATTGTTTCTCATAAAATGCATCCTTTTATTATTATTTATAAATAGAACAGCACCCAAGAGCTGCAGAAATAGCCAAACAATAGCTTTTCATCAGTTTGCAAAATAACCAATCTACTGATGACTTTCTGCAAAGTTACAGATCATCAGAAAATTCTGAAAAAAATTTATGTGGATGAAGACATGCTACAGTGTTCCACATTATATCACAATATGATATAGTCAAAGCTACCTATAATATTAAATTTTTAAATCTTCAAATGTATTTGAAATTATACCATATTTCTCAGTGTAGAAGGCACACTTTTTCTTTAAAAAATTCCATCTCTAAAAACGAGAAGCATCTTATACAATGATGGCAACATTGGCCTTACAGCAAACAAAACCAAGGGTGAAAGATACTACAATTTAAATGTAAGTGCAAGTTAAGCCATAAAACGACAAGGCCTTCACTCACCTATTTCTAATAAAAAAACAAAATGTTTGAAATTCACAACAATTTCTTTCTCTTCCATTCATTAAAGAACAAAGCAATGTGAAGATTTCAAATGATATCATTTCTAGTTCATCTCAGAGAAGCTTCTCCCCTAAGTGTATATTAAGTCATCTTTAGCCTAAAGACAATGAACCACAAATGAATCCTTTAATGACAAGAACTGTCTATAGTAAACACAAATTGATATAATGTATTTGGGGAAATTGTACCTTATTCTATTATGTACTTTAGGAAGTACACACAGAAGGTCCAGCTAACAGATGGGAGTTCTGATCAAGATAATGAGCTGTATACTGAATAAATGTTGATTTCAATAACTTTATGAAATATTTTTCTCCTATTAATTTGTAATCCAGCAGGGTAATGGTAATAAAAACCAGTCTGTCAATCAAATAATTTTTTATTTTTTAAAATTTGTGGGCTTTAAAATTAAGGCATGTCTTATGCAAAGAGAAATATGGTAAATATATATAAAAGTATTAAGCTATATTTTACTGTTGTCTGGAAACAGGAGTGTAGTTGCACAAGAAATGGAGGTTTATTTGACAATGCCAAAACCCTCTTTTCAATCATGGCACATTCAACATCATCATCTTGGATTATGACATCTTTCTTCAAAATTTTAATTGCATATAATTCATCTGTTCCTTTTCTCTCAGCTAACATAACCTGGGGGAAAAAAATCAAACTAAGAACATATATGGTAAGCTTTCTGAATCATTAAGGAACATTATTTTTAAGCAAGATTAGCTTAACACATAATTTTCAGTGTAAAAGGACTACATGCTAAATTTTGTTCTTTAAAAACCAATGATTTAAGGAAAGGTTATCATGCAAAATCACAGCAGTCAGAATGGTGAAATGCTTTCAAAAACTTTAATTACACAGTGAGGCATGTTTTGTAGAAAAGAGAAATTCAGATTTTTGCTAGATACAAATGATAACATTTTTATTATGTTCAAACTTATTTCATTGGCATTATAAAACTACCTAGGAACTGCTTACAAGACAGAATATAGTAAACCTTGAAAAATTTAAATCAATAACGCAGCTTTTATAAAAAAATAATAAGCAAAAACTATTATTAAAACTGCTACACTATAAAAGGCATGAGAATCAAAACTATATTTATTATTACCTAAATAACAGAGAGTATCGGCATGAGATGATTTTAAATGCAGTTTGGTTTCTCTTGCTGAATATAAACAATTCAATACCATTGGTGGCCACCAGTGGCTACAATAACTGCTGCTACATAGCGTCAGCTGCATATTCCGACAACACATTTTTAGAGGTAGCATTTTTCATGTGAAATGTAACTTTATTGAAGTTTACACAGATCATAATAGCAAAAGAAGAACTGAGTTTACTGGATTGTGGTAAAGTTCACTACACTCAACTTGCAGCTGAAACACCAAAGGCCTTAGAAAACAGGAACTGTCTTATGTTTCTGTTAAAAAATAGGCATTGGCTTGTACTGATGTTAGAAAGGTAAATAATGATATAGTCAGGCTTTTTTTTTTTTCAATTTGATTCCAGATCAAACTACAGTATTCAGCCGTGTTACTCAATCACAAGTAAAATAAAAAATTATGAGATGCTGAACTTTTATACTAATGTGAATTGGGAAAATAAATATGCACTTTGAACAGACTACTCTAAGAGACCACAACAAGATTTCAAAAGCTTCAACTTCTAAAAACTTAAATTGCTTATCACAACTTTTCATATTATGTTGTCATCGTTTACTCGCCATTACCAAGATTAAGGCAAGCTTGGAATTACTGGATGCCGTAAACATGATTTGTTAGCTTCCTTACTTCATCAAAACTTTTGGATAAAATATATAAATACCAGTCCAAATTATAATTATGGTAACATAAATGAGGAAGAATTCCTCACTAAAAAAATGCTTGAGAGTTTATTCTTATTACTGCTGCAGAATATAAAATGGAGAGGTAGAATAGTCACTCACAGTTTATTCTAAATTACAGTCTCCAGAATGCAGTTCCAAATTGTAATAACACTATAATATTTGGAAATTTTCTTCACTATTGCTGTAAGTATTAGTTGTAAGAGAAGAATGTTTATAAATACGAATCAGTTGAGAACCACGCAAGACCTAAAAATGAGTACTTTTCAGAAATCTTACTGCATTGTCTACCGACAGAGCAGCACCTGCAGTAATGAAAAAAACTTCTAAAATGTCAAAGCAATTTTTCTAAAACAAACAAAACAGCACTTTATAATATTAAAATTAAACCTTTATTTCATAAATAAACACAAAGCTTATATTTATTCCTCTGTGTGCTATTTTATTTTATAGATATAGTAAAAGCTCAGGAAATGCTGAATTCTGGATAATTGAGTGAAAAAAAAAAAAAAAAAAAAAAAAAAAAGCCAAATTAGCGGGGTAAAATTTCCACTCTAAAATTATAAAAACAATCAGTTTATTTGTTATCAATATCAATATTGAAGGCCTACATTTGAAATTATTATTTTGGAGGGGGGGAAGTGCATTTTAGTGTTATGAAAGCCAACGCATTTTGTAAGCCTCATCCAATTATGAAATCGCACCAAACATGAAAAATGGTGGAGATGTTGCCAATTAGAAGTTTCAACAAACATGTTGTACTTTATTTAGTTAGATAATGAAGGAGATTTATGGATGCAACATAAAAAACTTAAATTGCTTATCACAATTTTTCATATTATATTGCCATCGTTTACTCGCCATTACCAAGATTAAGGCAACCTTGGAATTACTGGATGCCGTAAACATGTTTGTGGTAAAGTTTATTTCGTGGTGTGGTGCAAAGATAGCTCTGGGTTCACCGTTATATCTTAACCTCTTCTTGCGCATCTAGGAGAGAGTTAATGTCCTGTCTTTCGGTACTATTACTTTGTTGTGACATTCTGTAAGGTTACAACGTTGGGTGACGATGGAGGGAAAATGAGACAGATTAGAGAGTATGCTTTTGGTGTCACCATTATGCAGTATAGGTACACTTGGTATTCAATTGGTGACTGAGGTACCGTAATCTGTCCGGCCCTTGATCTTAAGCACTTGCAAGTGAAAGGAGGGGCAGTCAGGGGCATATGCGGCATGCACAGTGTCGAAGTCTCTCCCCGAGTGCTGGTTGGCAATTAGACAGTTTACACAGCTCGGGCTATCAGCCATGCATTTTTTGACATCGTGGTTTCCACCACAATATGCACAATGATACCTAAATTTACAGTCTCTTGCCGAATGTTCGAAGTCCTGGCAGATGAAGCATCTGCGTGCCCCTGTAAACTCTGTCACACGATGTTCCCTCCATCCCTGGAACGAAACTCTTTGATCCATCAACGTTTTTTAAAGGCTGTAGGTGAACAGTCTAAAATCCATTTAGCCGCCTTGTTCCTCCGATCGCTGATCCTGAAAGAGACCTTGAAATCATCTTTACTGATAGTAAAGGTCCTAGAGACAAGGTCTGCTACCTCCTCCGCCGGAGTACCATTTGGAATATTATCTATCGCGCACTTTGGGGACCTTTTATGTGGAATCCTCGTGCTGATCTTATCTTTGATGTTAACATTCTGTGCCAGGGCATGGTGTAACTTTGCCACATCCTCCTTCGAGTGACAGCGCACTGCAACTCCTCCTTTGCTGAGCTTCTGTATTCCTTCCAGTGACACCCCCATATCCATTAAGGGCGCATGCCTTTCCAGTTCCATTTGCAGGTCTGGTGCATGTTCGTCTTTCGTAGGAAAAAAATAAGGAGCGTGGGAAAATCCTTAATTTTCGGTCTTAGGTTCCGCTGCAGTGTCTCTGCATATGAGCGTCTCTTTGCCGTGCCACCTAGATGTGTGTCCTCAGACTGAATCCTTCCTTGAATGACACTTTCGTGAAGCACTGTCGAGCCCGTCACTTTAGCGTGCAAGCCTTCACAGCACTGATATGCATAATTAAGTCGCTTGTGGGCATCTGTAAGCGTGTCCGTGTGCTTCGTCCCTAAGAAGTGCTCCATGTACTGTGGCGAGGGTGAGGACCCTATGGGGTTAAACTCTGTAGTGGTACCAACTTCCATGGTTGCTGGGGCAATTGGGGGTATTCATTCGGGCCTTTGTGGGCCAAATGCCTGAGGACTTCTAGGATCTCAAGCATGCGCTCTCGCAAATCTTTAGGCAGTAAGTGCCGATTTCGCCGTTCTATAGTGCTTACACTGATAGCTTCCTTAATTAGGGCATCTATTTTTTCGGCATAGCTGAGAGAATCACTGTCGTAGAGGCTCTGCGGGTTTAATACTGCTGCACAAATCGAGGTGCCTCCGTCATTCATGGTGGAAGTTCCGTGGACACTGGACTGTTGCACAGATAGAACACTACAAGCCCTGAATGCTGATTAAAAACACAAGAGTTCACTTGAACTATGAGATTCAACTAGACATTGAAGCTTCACTAAAACGCAGATGCTAAACACTGAGCACTATAAACTGATGCTATAAACACTAGAATTCACTAGTAAAATGCTAAAAACGTTGGGAAATCAGACGTTGGGTATTTCTCTGTAGTCTCTTTAAAAAACACAAAAATTCACTTGAACGTCGAGATTCCACTAGACACTGAAGCTTCACTAAAGCGCTGAAGCTAAACACTGGTCACTACAGACTGAAGCTAAAAACACTAAAATTCACTGACAAAGCACTTAAACATTGGGAAAATGAGCGTTGGGTGTATCTCTGTATACTTCATAAAAACAGAAAAATTCTTTTGGACTCTGGGATTCCACTAAACACTGATGCTTCACTAAACACTGATCTCTACACACTGATGCTATACTCACTGATACTATGAAACACTAACTTACACTGTGAAAGCACTGAAGCGTTGGCAGAACACTAACACACTGTAAAAAAACACTGAGGAATCACTGATGGTACTGAAGATAATACTAAATTGACACTGAAAACTACACAGTCAGTGCTGGTATTTCTCGGTAGTACTTTATAACACATAATTACAGTATTAATTAATTATGAGATATAAACGAACAGGAAATAGTATTCGAAGAATTGTTATAACCTGTGTGCAAAAGGGTATAGGAACCAATATACACAAATTATAAACAGTAATTAATAAGATGAGATCAGTTCATACATATAATTAATTAACACAAATGTCCTATTAGTAATTATGCTAAAATGGGCATAAATGAGAGTCAAGGAAGCCATGCGTAGCTTAATGTAGACTATTTAATTTCACTGAGGCAGGCTATGCTTGAATTTATTTGGCAACAGGGTAATTAATAAAAGCTGTTAATTAGAGGTACTGAAACAAAATTCCTACCTTAGCAGCTTAACTTCTTCTGTTTTTCATCTGTTAAAGAAGAGTAGTAAGTAATCCGAGGTATCAAATTAATTGCATTAATTACACTGACACGCACACACACTATAGCTTGCACGGTAAACACGAAGATGGCAAAATTCCTTAAGTCTAATAAATTCGACTTTAAATTAATAACTTCTGAACAAATTGTCCTAATTTCACAAAATTTAAAAAACTTGTAGCGCTCTCTGGGTGACTGAAACAATGGCACTAGTGCTGGAGTCGTCGCTTGTTAATTAGCCGCGTAATTACAGCTGAAACAATACTCCACTTGTCGATTTTCTCCTTTTGTTAAGAAG